CAGAAGCCACTCAGTAAGTCATCTAAATTATTGGGACAGCTTAAGCACTTTCAGTCTGTATTTTCTAGTGTAGGAGGGAGAGACGAATAAATAAATAAATAAATATAATAAATATTAGATTAGATATTATGGTAAATATTAGAGATATTAAATATTAAATCTGTACACGGAACACCCCCATTCAACCCCACCACACCTCATTTAACAGTGGCCGGAACCACTTACGTTAAGACATACAGCAGTCCATTAACAATCCGCCACAGACCATTTAGAGCGGCTCCCCACGCCCCAAGTGAAGCTCATTCATTGGTCGCTGCAATACTGTCGTTATCGAGCAATTGGCTGGGTGTTGCAGTCGTGGATGTTCTCACGACGGTTGAGTGAGCTGGTGACTGGACTGGACTGGTGAGGAAAGGTGGCTAGGAGGAAGAGAAGTTGAGAAGAGGTGGGATGAGATCAACCCGTCCTTATAAGGTTCCCCAGCGTACAGAATACGGACAATTTAAAGTGGTCTCTCCTAACCTACCAGAGGACCCAAGACAGAAAACGGAATAGTACGTCACTTTCGCCAGCCGCTTCCATTTTCTAGCACGACGATTTCTGGCCGAATGTAACGCCTACGAGCGAAAAGCAACGTACTTTGAAGGACGACAGGCTGAGCCCATGTCGCAGCGCCCTAGTCTGGAGTGTGTTCGTGGTTAGTGAGCGCGCGTGAGGAGGCTGGGAAGTAGGCGGTGGTGAGATATCACCTAGATATCAAGATATCAAGATATCAAGATATCTAGATATCTAGATATCAAGATATCTAGATATCAAGATAGCTATATATCAAGCAGATACCCTCTGATCATTGTTTCATAAAGCGTTCAAATTATTTCAGGACCACCGCCCCCTCCCCCCCCTCTCTCAATTTACATTTTTTTTTTTTTTTTTTTTTTTACATTTTCAAAAGTGGCTGTTTATGATTTTAAGTCGTCACATTATACAGCTTATACATTGATTATACACTTCTGTCTGTTAATACAACTCGCCTTGCTGTTTAGATAGTAGTTGTAACTATGTGCACCATAGTACAAAGATTGACATACTAAGTAGTTAGATAGTCGAATTTTATACTATTGACTTTATAGTCAAAATTGAAGCTGAAAAACACTTAAATATTCTTAGGCCTAGTATAGTACAAATATCTACTATAATAGGCTTCAGATAGCGTGTATTAGGCCTAGGGGAGGTTAGGTTAGTTTGTCTTTGCAACATAAATATAAAATTATATTCGATTTGTCCAAATTTAATAGTACCGATTTCTACTTTTTAATTGTGTTGTATGTCGGTATATGTACTGTGGTCCTCATCGTTACTGTAAGTACTACCACAACAGGCGGTTGATACCTGCTTGGTCCACCAGGCTGTTGCTGGGAGCGGCCCGCAGGCCCACATACCCACCACAGCTTGGTTGTTCCGGCACTCCTTGTATGGGCTGTGTTAACAGCAAAATCTGGATACAATGCAAGAATTAGAGGTATTTTATCATTTGTAATCAGATCATTTACTATTTCATGCAACGTGTTGAGATGACATCTCTGATTGGCTGATGAAGTTTCCGACTCATTTTGTTCACAATTCAAAACATAATGGTGTCTTGTGGTGCTTCCGGGGATCAATAATCCCGCCGCCCGGTCTCTGATTGGGCCTCCTGATTGACTGCATGATCTAATTAGTCTGATAAGCCTAGCGACGGCCCCACCAGCCAATCAGAGGGATTGGGAGAAATGATTAACCTTGAGAGTGTTGGTCAAACTCACGGGCCTGGCTCCTGAACCTGACGTCTTGAATCAGAGTCTCGGATTGATGAAGATTAAGCCAGCCAAGAGGTGGACACGGGCATGAATAGCCCGAATTATGCCCTCACAGGCTCTGGCTGTGTGGTGTAATCGCGTCACATCATTCAGTCAATCAAATTGTTGGTGTAGATGACAGGTCTTCGTCACTTGGCCAGGCACCCTTGGTGAGCAGTCTGTCAAGCTGTTTGGGTCAAGCAGATCTTCAGTCGCTTCACTGAATGTTTTCCATAGTTAAAAGTCCAGGATGAACACACACACACTCCTGAGTGCCGTCATGAACACACACTCCTGAGTGGGTGTCACAAGTCATGAATGCCGTCATGAACACACACTCCTGAGTGGGTGTCACAACAGTCATGAATGCCGTCATGAACACACACTCCTGAGTGGGTGTCACAAGTCATGAATGCCGTCATGAACACACACTCCTGAGTGCCGTCATGAACACACACTCCTGAGTGGGTGTCACAAGTCATGAATGCCGTCATGAACACTCACACAAAGGCATTCGACAAACGTGACCATGGAGTGATGGCCCATAAAATGAGATCACTAGGAATAACGGCGTTGGATTTTCAACTTTCTGTCTAACAGAATGCAGAGATTGACGGTCAGTCCAGTAAGATCAAGCCCAAGTGCAGTGAAAAGGTCTGTACCCCAGGGTACAGTCCTTGTACCACTGCTCTGTACCCCAGGGTACAGTCCTTGTACCGCTGCTCTGTACCCCAGGGCACAGTCCTTGTACCACTGCTCTGTACCCCAGGGTACAGTCCTTGTACCACTGCTCTGTACCCCAGGGCACAGTCCTTGTATCGCTGCTCTGTACCCCAGGGCACAGTCCTTGTACCACTGCTCTGTACCCCAGGGCACAGTCCTTGCACCACTGCTCTGTACCCCAGGGTACAGTCCTTGCACCACTGCTCTGTACCCCAGGGTACAGTCCTTGTACCACTGATCTGTACCCCAGGGCACAGTCCTTGCACCGCTGCTCTGTGCCCCAGGCCACAGTCCTTGCACCACTGCCCTGTACTTGAAAGGAGACGAGAAAGGTATGAAAAATATATATATGGAAGATACTGGAGGGCCAGGTCCCAAATTTGCGCAGTAGAATAACAACATACTGGAGCGAAAGGTACGGAAGGAAATGCTGAATAGAACCAGTGAAGAGTAGAGGTGCCATAGGCACAATCAGAGAACACTGTCTGAACATCAGAGGTCCACAGCTGTTCAACACCCTCCCAGCAAGCATTAGAAATATTATTGGAACAAGGATGGATGTATTCAAGAGGCACTTAGACAAGTTCTTGCAAGGACTGCCGGACCAACCAGGCTGTAGAGGATATGTAGGCCTGCGGGCCGCTCCAAGCAACAGCCTGGTGGATCAAGTTATCACAAGTAGAGCCTGGCCTAAGGCCGGGCTCGGGGAGTAGAAGAACTCCCGAAATCCTCTCAAGGTATAGAGATATTGGAAAGAACTTTTTCAGTGTCAGAGTAGTTAACAAATGTAATGCACTAGGAAGTGATGTGGTGGAGGCTGACTCCATACACAGTTTATAATGTAGATATGATAGAGCCCAATAGGCTCAGGAACCTGTACACCAGTTGATTGACAGTTGAGAGGCGGGACCAAAGAGCCAGAGCTCAACACCAGCAAGCACAGTTAGGTGAGCACACCTTAGAATGAGATGGACTCTCATTCTAAGAGTGACTCTCATTCTAAAATGAGATTAAAAGAAATCCTAACAAAGCCTCCCAGATACAATGGAAATTCTTTTATCATCGCAACACACAAAGCCTGAATTCACCAACGATAAAAAAAGACTTTTACATATATAAATATATATAAATATATATAATTGGTCTTCTTAAAATCTAATTGCTTGAATATTATACAAAAACTCTTATTAAAAATCACATGATAGATAAAACTATACACCAGATTGTATGTATGTTTACACGTCAAGGGAATAACTCACACTAAGGAACATGTTTATATAATAAAGCTGAATATAAATACAGAGAACGGGAAAAATTCAAAACTAAAGGCCCAAAAATACTTGGAATCGAAAACAGAGAACGGGAAAAGACCTTGAAATTATCCTAATACACAAACTTCCAGATGCAACGGCGGAGGAATTTATTGAACACACGGGCCAAATAAATCAGGATAATCTGATGCTAGATATTTTGATCCCTGGAGACCGTTATTTACCCAGGTTAAGATGGTAATAGACAATTCATAGGGATTAAGAGTGACTAAACTGGAAACGGTCAGACACGGCGACTTAGGCTTCATGACAAGTTTGTGTAAAAACAGAACAAAATGGAGCCGACAAGGAACGATAATATTCGTGATTTGTTAGATCTTCACAAACAAATAATAATCGGGCATTCAAAGCATAGATACAAAGACAAACCAACTGATATTCAAACATTAGTAAACATAGTGTGTGTGTTAAAACGAGAGTGAATGGATGTTAGCTGAGTTTATATCAACAAAAAAGGTCCTGACGGGAAATAAACAGAAAATTAACCAAAATCTTGTAATAATAGTCCAGACTCTGTGACACGTGAGCTATGCAGTGTTTACATTGAACAGCTGTTCAATGTAAACACTGCAATGTTTACATTGAACAGCTGTTGACCTGTGACGTTAATGGAACAGCCCCAAAGGGCATCACAGAGTTTGCAAGTGGATAACAAAATTTCGTTGGATGAAAATTGCTTATTAGTAGGCTGCTAAAATGTACTCACCTAGTTGTGCTTGCGAGGGTTGAGCTCTAGCTCCTTGGTCCCACCTCTCAACTGCCAATCACCTTTTCTCTCACACAGACACACGTGAAACGGAACAGGAAAAAGTCTGTGCTGTCATTAGTAGAATAGTGGTTTGTGAATACATTCCAAATGGTGTACTAAGACAGGTTCTTGCAAGAGGTGCCGGACCAACTAGGCTGTAGTGGATATGTGGGCCGGCGGGCCGCTCCTAGCAAGAGCCTGGTGGACCAAGTTATCACAAGTCGTTCTCCTCTACCATAGAGAACCGAAGGTGGTTCTCTACACTGGCGGTTTACCATTCTGTATATAATCAACCTTTTTTACGCTCTCAGACAAGCATTTCCGCTTGCTACGTTGCATTAACACATTGCATGTATGTTGCAGGTGACGGACAACCCTGAGGCGGTGTGGCCGACGGAGTGGACGCAGGTGGAGGCTGTCCCGGAGGAGCAGGTGCCCCTGGCCTTCACCACCCTTGTTAATCACTGTCGACGCCTGGTTCAGGAGCGCGACGCCTACCACCTGGAGCTGCTGAGGGCGCTGTGTGGGGAGGGAGACGACGAGGAGGTGTCCCAGGAGAGCGTCCATCACCTGGGGGTGCAGCTGGCTGACTGTAAGGCCCAGCTGCGGCGCCTCCGTCAGGAGTAGTAAGTGGCGGCGGCGTTCTTTTGTTTTTTAGAGCTTTTGCGGCTCGGCGGCGCCTTCGTCGTCAGGGGGTTGGTGCTGGGGTTCTCCTGGAACTTAGTTCTTGGACAAATCCACAATGGCCGTCATGAGGGTTCGAACCTACGTCTGGGACGCGCTTTAGTCGACTGAGCCACGGCATGGTAAAAAGAATTGCAACCGGGAGTGCTACTGTCCTCACAACAAATCTTAGTTCTTGGTTTAAGATCCTGCCACCCATCACCCCCCCCCCCCCCCAGGAGACTGTGTCATATAGATTATTGTCGTCTTTAAACACTGTTCTGACAGCGGTTATCACATCCACCTAAGGATAGGCAAGATAACAGAGCGAGAAGATATACAGATATCCCTTACTGATCGCATACTCAGTGAAGCACTTACGCTATTAACCTTCTTCTATCTTGAGGTTATCTTGAGATAATTTCGGGCCCTAGCGTCCTCGCGGCCCGGTCCTCAACCAGGCCTCCTTTTGTTACACACCCCTAGGAAGCAGCCCGTGGCAGCTGTCTAACTCCCAGGTACCTATTTACTGCTAGGTGAACAGAGGGCATCAAAATGTAAGAAACTGCCCATTTGTTTCCGCCTACGCCGTGGATCGAACTCGGAACCTCAGGACTACGAATCCTGAGCGCTGTCCACTCAGCCATCAGGCCCCTAGGCCCACCTTCCTGGAAGAATTAAAATTATTTTCCTGGGAAAGGACACGAGAGAGATCTCATAATATGCTCATAGAAAATATTGGAATATAAGGTTGAAAATCTGCACAGGAAGCTTGAAATATATTACAGTGAGAGATGCAGTAGAAAGTGTTCGTGAAGAACAACTTGACACGTTTCTCCTGATCTTATCTGATCAGTCCGACTGTGTTGGCTAGCGAACTGTGAAGACTCACGGGGCCCGGCATATAGGCCAGGGAACACCAGCTTGTGATGGGTGAACCATCGAAATCGGTCACAGGTATTCCACGGGATCAATCTCAGCTCTAAACGTTTTGCCTCCACTCTCTGTGGGGGATCAAGCAACAGCCTGGTGGACCAAGTTATCACAAGTCGAGCCTGGCCTCGGGCCGGGCTCGGGGGCCACCTCTGGGGTTATTCATGCCTGTGCCACCTCCGGGGTTATTCATGCCTGTGCCACCTCCGGGGTTATTCATACCTGTGCCACCTCTGGGGTTATTCATGCCCGTGCCACCTCCGGGGTTATTCATGCCCGTGCCACCTCCGGGGTTATTCATGCCCGTGGCCACCTCCGGGGTTATTCATGCCCGTGGCCACCTCCGGGGTTATTCATGCCCGTGCCACCTCCGGGGTTATTCATGCCCGTGCCACCTCCGGGGTTATTCATGCCCGTGCCACCTCCGGGGTTATTCATGCCCGTGGCCACCTCCGGGGTTATTCATGCCCGTGGCCACCTCCGGGGGGTTATTCATGCCCGTGGCCACCTCCGGGGGGTTATTCATGCCCGTGGCCACCTCCGGGGTTATTCATGCCCGTGGCCACCTCCGGGGTTATTCATGCCCGTGGCCACCTCCGGGGTTATTCATGCCCGTGCCACCTCCGGGGTTATTCATGCCCGTGGCCACCTCCGGGGTTATTCATGCCCGTGGCCACCTCCGGGGTTATTCATGCCCGTGGCCACCTCCGGGGTTATTCATGCCCGTGCCACCTCCGGGGTTATTAATGCCCGTGGCCACCTCCGGGGTTATTCATGCCCGTGCCACCTCCGGGGTTATTCATGCCCGTGCCACCTCCGGGGTTATTCATGCCCGTGGCCACCTCCGGGGTTATTCATGCCCGTGGCCACCTCCGGGGTTATTCATGCCCGTGCCACCTCCGGGGTTATTCATGCCCGTGGCCACCTCCGGGGTTATTCATGCCCGTGGCCACCTCCGGGGGGTTATTCATGCCCGTGGCCACCTCCGGGGTTATTCATGCCCGTGCCACCTCCGGGGTTATTCATGCCCGTGGCCACCTCCGGGGTTATTCATGCCCGTGCCACCTCCGGGGTTATTCATGCCCGTGGCCACCTCCAGGGTTATTCATGCCCGTGGCCACCTCCGGGGTTATTCATGCCCGTGGCCACCTCCGGGGTTATTCATGCCCGTGGCCACCTCCGGGGTTATTCATGCCCGTGGCCACCTCCGGGGTTATTCATGCCCGTGGCCACCTCCGGGGTTATTCATGCCCGTGGCCACCTCCGGGGTTATTCATGCCCGTGCCACCTCCGGGGTTATTCATGCCCGTGCCACCTCCGGGGTTATTCATGCCCGTGCCACCTCCGGGGTTATTCATGCCCATGCCACCACTTGTGTGGCTTAATCTTTATCAGTCACATGTACCAGCAGCGTTTCGGTCAAGTTAGGTACTCATTGGCACTCAATCGGCACTCGATAATCCAAGAATTGCCTGGTTGTGCTGGTGGTTGAGTTTTGGAAGTACGCTGCTATTAATAGATAAATTGGCCACCTCGGAGGTGGCCCTCGGGGTGGGCCAGGTGGCCCCTAAGGTGGCCCAGGTGGCCCCCTAAGGCGATCGTGCATGTAATCCAGGCTCATTTCGCCCGGGATTTAAGAGTCGAGTAAGGTCGATAGTGAGTGGTTGGGGTGGCCCCAGAGCCATGGTGTGTGGGGGGGGGGGCTAGAGCCATGGAGGGTGGCCCCAGAGCCATGGTGTGTGGGGGGGCGCCAGAGCCATGGTGTGTGGAGGGGGGGGCTAGAGCCATGGAGGGTGGCCCCAGAGCCATGGTGTGTGGGCCCCAGAGCCATGGTGTGTGGGGTGGCCCCAGAGCCATGGTGTGTGGGGTGGCCCCAGAGCCATGGTGTGTGGGGGGGGGCTAGAGCCATGGTGTGTGGGGGGGCTAGAGCCATGGTGTGTGGGGGGGGGCTAGAGCCATGGTGTGTGGGGGGCTAGAGCCATGGTGTGTGTGGGGGGGCTAGAGCCATGGTGTGTGGGGTGGCCCCAGAGCCATGGTGTGTGTGGGGGGCTAGAGCCATGGTGTGTGGGGGGCTAGAGCCATGGTGTGTGTGGGGGGCTAGAGCCATGGTGTGTGTGGGGGGCTAGAGCCATGGTGTGTGGGGGGCTAGAGCCATGGTGTGTGGGGGGGCTAGAGCCATGGTGTGTGGGGGGGCTAGAGCCATGGTGTGTGGGGGGCTAGAGCCATGGTGTGTGGGGGGCTAGAGCCATGGTGTGTGGGGGGGCTAGAGCCATGGTGTGGGGGGGGGGGGGCTAGAGCCATGGTGTGTGGGGAGCTAGAGCCATGGTGTGTGGGGGCTAGAGCCATGGTGTGTGGGGGGCTAGAGCCATGGTGTGTGGGGGGCTAGAGCCATGGTGTGTGGGGGGCTAGAGCCATGGTGTGTGGGGGGGGGTAGAGCCATGGTGTGTGGGGGGGCTAGAGCCATGGTGTGGGGGGGGGGCTAGAGCCATGGTGTGGGGGGGCTAGAGCCATGGTGTGGGGGGGGGGGCTAGAGCCATGGTGTGGGGGGGGCTAGAGCCATGGTGTGGGGGGGGGGGCTAGAGCCATGGTGTGTGGGGGGGCTAGAGCCATGGTGTGTGGGGGGGCTAGAGCCATGGTGTGTGGGGGGGCGGCTAGAGCCATGGTGTGTGGGGGGCTAGAGCCATGGTGTGTGTGGGGGGCTAGAGCCATGGTGTGTGTGGGGGGCTAGAGCCATGGTGTGTGTGGGGGGCTAGAGCCATGGTGTGTGTGGGGGGCTAGAGCCATGGTGTGTGTGGGGGGCTAGAGCCATGGTGTGTGTGTGTGGGGGGGCTAGAGCCATGGTGTGTGTGTGTGGGGGGCTAGAGCCATGGTGTGTGTGTGTGGGGGGCTAGAGCCATGGTATGTGTGTGGGGGGGGGGCTAGAGCCATGGTGTGTGTGTGTGGGGGGCTAGAGCCATGGTGTGTGTGAGGGGGGGGCTAGAGCCATGGTGTGTGTGTGTGGGGGGCTAGAGCCATGGTGTGTGTGTGTGGGGGGCTAGAGCCATGGTGTGTGTGTGTGGGGGGCTAGAGCCATGGTGTGTGTGTGGGGGGGGCTAGAGCCATGGTGTGTGTGTGGGGGGCTAGAGCCATGGTGTGTGTGGGGGGCTAGAGCCATGGTGTGTGTGTGGGGGGGGCTAGAGCCATGGTGTGTGTGTGTGGGGGGCTAGAGCCATGGTGTGTGTGTGGGGGGGCTAGAGCCATGGTGTGTGTGTGTGGGGGGGGCTAGAGCCATGGTGTGTGTGTGTGGGAGGGCTAGAGCCATGGTGTGTGTGTGTGGGGGGGGGGCTAGAGCCATGGTGTGTGTGTGTGGGGGGGGCTAGAGCCATGGTGTGTGTGTGGGGGGCTAGAGCCATGGTGTGTGTGTGGGGCTAGAGCCATGGTGTGTGTGGGGGGCTAGAGCCATGGTGTGTGTGGGGGGCTAGAGCCATAGTGTGGGGGGGCTAGAGCCATGGTGTGTGGGGGGGGCTAGAGCCATGGTGTGTGGGGGGGCTAGAGCCATGGTGTGTGTGGGGGGGGCTAGAGCCATGGTGTGTTGGGGGGGCTAGAGCCATGGTGTGGGGGGCTAGAGCCATGGAGGGTGGCCCCAGAGCCATGGTGTGTGGGGGGGGCTAGAGCCATGGTGTGTGGGGGGGGCTAGAGCCATAGTGTGTGGGGTGGCCCCAGAGCCATGGAGGGTGGCCCCAGAGCCATGGTGTGTGGGGGGGAGGCTAGAGCCATGGAGGGTGGCCCCAGAGCCATGGTGTGTGAGGGGGGGGCTAGAGCCATGGAGGGTGGCCCCAGAGCCATGGTGTGTGAGGGGGGGCTAGAGCCATGGAGGGTGGCCCCAGAGCCATGGTGTGTGAGGGGGGGCTAGAGCCATGGAGGGTGGCCCCAGAGCCATGGTGTGTGAGGGGGGGGCTAGAGCCATGGAGGGTGGCCCCAGAGCCATGGTGTGTGGGGGGGGGGCTAGAGCCATGGTGTGTGGGGGGGGCTAGAGCCATAGTGTGTGGGG